CCCGGCCCGGACCCGACCTGCTGCCGGCCCGGCTTCAAATGGGAGCCGCCGCGCTCCCTTCCGCCTCCTTCCTCCCGCCCGCCCCTTCCTGCCCTGCCCGCCCTTCCCGCCGCCACTACGTAATTTGCGTAGGGCTGGCGGGCTGCTCTGGGCTGTCCTTCTCTACGCTTCCCTACGCGAGTGGCGTAGCGAGCCGCGTAGACTGCGGAGCGGAGCGGGAAGCCGCGCTGGTCTGAGGTGATGGCGAGGGCTGGCGGCCAGCCCCGGGCTAGCCCTTACCAGGCTCCCGGCCCCTTCACGGGGGTGGTGGCAGGTCCATCTCCACCACGAGATGGGAATAGCTGCTCTTTCCTCGCTGCCCACCTTTATCCGCAATCTTGGGCCTTGTCCACCACGTTGGTGCCTCGCTCAGGGTTTAGGCCTATGTGGGTACCGGCCCTTTTGCTCCCTTTAAAGCCCTTCTTCCCCTGTGAGAACTCCTCCCTCTCTGAGGGAGGGTTACAGAGAGAGGTAGCAATGTGCATTTGGTGAAGCTGCTTTCAGGTTGCTGCACCAAGACTTCGTTGCCACCTCCGATGCAGGACAGGTTGGTGTCTCTGTGGGTTACCCTGAGGAAAATTAAAGCTTCAGTGGTGTCTCGCACTTCGTGCTGTGTTACCAGGTGGGATCTCAAAGCCATGTGAACAGAAGCTGAAGAGAGAGAGTGTGTGTGTTTGTGTGTGCGCGCATGCGCGCACTCATCAGGCAAATATGAGGGCCGTGTATGTGTTGCTTCTGATAGCAGTGGGGTTACTGGCGCAGTCAGCTCAGGAGGCTTTGCTCCAGTGTGGTTAACTGGCCTTGCAGAAATCCTAAGGCATTGGAGTTAGTTCAGCTACCCGAGCATAAGGCTTTTGCATTGTGTTTTGGGGGTTTTAAGAAATGCATTTGCTCTGAGAGCAGTCTCAGGCTGGAACCCCAAGTCCAATGCATAGTAATTTTTTGAGAAATCTGTTTTTTCCAGGGAAAGGAGAGCAGTTCGTCTGTATGATCACACTTCACGACAGCAAAACTAGTTTTGGTTGCTTGGTAAGCTGTTGCTTAAAATGTGCTATGTGGGACTTACTTATAAATACATTTTTTTAAAAAATCCGGGTACCAGTTCTGTTTAAAAGCTCATTTTGATTTGGCCAAATATCTTGCCCTGATTGCTTGCTACTAATACTAGACCCCCTCAGGTTTACTCACACAAGTACTCATGTTACGTATAGGTATTTTAAGCATCATCATGTGGTCATTAAATGTGATACTGAAGTTCAGAAGGCGAGTTCTGTTGATCCCAGGTAGGGTGCAGAAGGTACCTACTGTGACTTAGGTAACTGCACAACACAACGGACAAGTTGCAAATGGTTCACAACAACCAGGGAATCACCTGGACACAAATCTGTGCGCTCAGACCAAGATCTGCAAATTAGTTGCTTGTAGATTTGACCATTCTGTGTTTGAGGACCTAAAGTTCTCTTTGTACAGAATCAGCGATGTGGAAGTGTGAAATGTGTTATTTATTCCATGTTTATTTTCGCCTGTTTATGTCTGTGTGATAATGGAGAAAAGCTGTTAAAAGTGGTCCAAAACATGAGCGGAATGACAATTAGGAGTGAGTTTTATCAGATGTTGTAAACTTGGGATCTTATGATATATTTTAATAATAATCAAAGTCAGGACAATTATGGATAATTTAAAGTTCTGTACTTAAAGTGAGACTTCTACATTTAACAGTAATTTAAAACACCTACACAAAATTTTTCAGGCACCTGCCTCACACTCTTATATAAGTAACTAGTGACTGCGGTGGGCGATGGTGGTGCTGTTTGTTGACGAGAAGCCTGAAAAGGGATTGGAATAGGGAAAGTTGTGGCTTTGGGAAGGGCCCTGTGGGCAGAGGGGCAGAGTGGGAGCACAGCGTGACAAAAGGACAGGCGTATTTTTTAATTAAAACTGGCTTGTGTACATGCATTATTAAACAAAACACCTTCAAAGTTTCTGGTCCAGGATTCTGCCTATACAGACTGTAATCCTTAAAATACTGCTGTTGGGTCTTATCATACTCTTAATGTCTCAATGGTTTTCTGACTTTGTAAATCACAGTTCTCAGATATTTATGCAGTTTGTCAGGTACAGCTGAATACTACTGCCTGGGCCCACTTCTCATTATGAACCTCTCTCTTTCAGGCTACGGTATGTTACCTCATCACTGTCCGAAATTGGGAGCCAGCTAGATAAGGTAAGCAGGGCAAGGTAATTTGGAGCTGAAACTTTCTTGCCAAAAAGACTGGCCTGAATTAAAACTGAGTACAAGTAAATCCTTTACGTTTTAGAAGAGGAATACGATTTTGTTGGCCTTTTCTCCATAAACTTAGTTGCTGCTTCAAAGGTTTACATTGTCATCGAGCCTTATCTTGTCAGATGAGAATCAACAGCTGTTATAAAGATACCGGGTTCTAGGGCCTAATGACTCCCACCAACATCCATGAATGCTGAATCAGCTGATTGTTAGCGGCTCTCAAAGGCTGAAGAAACATTTCAGTTGAACTGCTGAACGCAGGCTTGGAAGGTGCTGATACAAGGCAATGGAGGTGGAAACCTGGACTTCCACGGCTGCTAATCTTACTGTGTGGATCCCTGGGGGTTCTTTCAGAGAGCCGGTCTCTCAGTGGTCATCGCACAGCATGCATGCTTCCTTCCCACTGGTGTATACTGCCTCGAGGGAAGCCCTTTTCTGCTGGCCATTTTTTTGACGCTGTAGAAATTAGCGTAATAAAATTGAACGCACCCTTTTGGAAGGGCAGAGGGACGCATAACAAACGGATTTTTCCTGTTTGCATTCATTCTCTGATTTCTTTCTGATTTGTTCACACCCATGTGCTGACAAGCCCACACAGGCTGGCCAGGCTCCATTGTGTGTGATACGGAGGACAAGGGACGCTGCCTCTAAAATCTTCAGTGTGTTTCTTGACTGATGGTGGCAAACTGATACTGGATGCGACGTATACACCCAACAACACCAATTCCAGGAGGGTATCTTGCCTGGTCTCTTCCCCGTTCAGGCAAAATTCCCCAAGTTTTATCTTTTATTTTAATTGGGATTATTTTATGGCTCTAGTCCAGTTCATCTTTGTCATCTTATCTTTAGGACAGTCTGTTTCTTCTTTGCTGTCTGGTCGTTTGAATGAGATCCGTGTTCTGTAGCAATTAGCACATGGTTTTCCTTTAACCCTTCTAGCTTACTCTGATGCATTCATGCACGCCACATTCAGGCCAATATTAATATATTTGTAACAAATATACAGTACCAGTCACCCGTTAGTGTTGGTGAAGGGAACTCAACAGGAAAATTGTCTATGAGCTGAAGGACTTTCTGAAATTATTTTCAGTACAGCTGAATATCTGGTCCAGTCTTTGCATTTGGAATAATACAGTATTTGGGTTTAAAACTACCTGCCTTTTCCCAACCGAAAAGCTTTTTCCTGGTTAGTTATTAGCAAATGTTACTACATATGTACTTTGCAATAAGTCAGTTGCTGTCCAAATATATTAGAAAAAACAAAGCATTTCTTTCCCTTGAAGGTTCGAGTTCTTAGGCAGAAAACAGACCTGTTTTTTCCAAGACTCTAGGAGGACAGCAGCTCCTTACTCTTAGTCTAATCTGTTTTATCTGCTGGTGAGACACTATGTATATTTATATACTGAGCAACTGGAGTACATCAGTTTCCATTCTTATCGAACACAAATATTTACCACAGGCCTGATCCAAGGTCTACTGAGATCCGTGGTACTCTTAAAAAATGTAACCTAACTAGAGCAAACTCCTAATTTTTTTCCAATTTAATTTTAGTTGGGTTATAGGATATTTTCTTAGCAACTAAGTATTTTTTTAAATCGAGGAAAAAACCGAACATATTACTTCTTTGCTTTAGTCGCCAACTCAGTTGTACAGATTCCCTAATAGGCTTTCTCAGCTGTAGTTCCTGTCAGTGAGGAAACTGTGAAATGTTTTGACATTAATTGTCAGTGAGGAATTGAAACACAGAAGTCAATGCGCAATTAACATTATTAAACTTTAATGGACACATTCCATATAAAAATATCACATGCGGCATAGCAATTGACAGATTTCTGTTTATCTCTGGACATCTCCAAGGACAATGTCATACTTAATGTAAAGAGGGCAAGAAGAGAGGCGGTGCAGGTAGCCAGATAAAGGAGTTCAGGTGAGAGGAACTATTTCTGTGCTAAGCAACATGGGGAATTTGGAGTGTCATGAGCTTTTGAGAGCCTTGCCCTTTGCAAGCCACAGACTCAAGATTAGGAGTGTTGATCTTGCCTCTTCCCTTCCAATTTCGTGTGTAAATTAAAATGGCATCAACTGACATCCCCTTTTCCCAGTCCCTTTCCCATCCCTGCCAACAACCATTTGGGCAGTGATAGGGATTAAAGTGATAACCTGGGTTAAAACTACTCTCTTAAATTACTCTCTTCCATTGAGGCTAGGCATCCAGTCCCTGATTTAGCAGTCTTATTTCCCCACATTGTCACAAGAAAAGGTGTACCTGTGTTAAAAGAGTGGGAAAATGCAACCACAGCTAGGGATATTCACAGGACATCATCTGTCAGGTGTTACAACAGATAATGTTCTGCAGTGCTAATCGGGAGATGACACGAACAAGAACAACGTGACAAAAGCAGACCAACAAAATTTTTAGTCTGGGATAAAAATTGTGTGGAAACCCTGCAGTTTTTATCTCGTAAATATCAACATATAAATATTTTACTATGTTTCCAGTAATGAAATTAAACAACACTCTGCATTGCCGTCCAGCCTTCCTGGGATACCTTGGCCACCTGTTGAATTTATTACATGAATGATTGCTTTCACAGTCCAGTAACTGACTAGTGTGGCTAACATACAGCTTTGCAGGCAGGACCAGTCCCTTATCTCTAGGCAGCTCACGTTAATCGTTTCAGGCAATAGCAACGATGTGGGTCTCCTTGTGGCGGGAGGTGAGCGATTCCCTGTTACACCTCCAGTAGAATTTAGGAGTGCAGCAAAGCACCATAGACATGACCAACCCCAAAGTAAGCATGAGACAAATCACCCATTTTATCAGCCCAGAGTGTATAAACGGGAGGATGAGGATAGTAAGAATCACCACAAGCAGCAGGAGCAGCACAAGTCTCTGGATCGCCAGTCTGTTGTCTGCTGGAACATTTTCGTCTCTGTATAAAGTGTCTTGGCTGGTCTGAGTCCAGCTATTGCTGTCCAGCCCTATGGCAGAGATGTGTACCTCAGGGTTTGAATCGGGGTTTTCCAACTGCTCCATGATGTCTTCTTTATTTTGAAGTGTGCGGATGAGTCCTCCTGACACAAAAGTGGCTTTTCTGCACAGGGGGCAGGTGATTATCCAGGTACTCTCTTCTTTCCTGAGGATAAGCTTGAGGCAGACTGCGCAGAAGGCATGCTGGCAGTCCAGGAGCTTTGGTACTCTGTAGATGTTGTACTTGTTGAAGCAGACTAGGCAGTCCATATCGATAGATGTTGTGGTTGAACACTGGTGGTTCATTTCAAAACTGCATACTTTGGGAGAGTTTGGGTCTGTTAGCGTAACGAGAGGCTTTGAGTTTGGACAGTCTCTTTCTGAAATCGCTGGTTTAAAGGCATCAGGACTGTCTTGCTCTGTGCCTGAAGGTCTCTCCATTTCTTTAATGTGTTCTTCAGCGAGTTCCAGCCGCTTCACGTCTGCAGCGCTTTCTGTTCGGGGTCCTGCTCTGCTCAATTCTGCAGCACTTTCCGCAGTGGGCGCAGGACTGTCCTTTTCAGCCTGTGGTACTCCAGGAGCTGTCAGTCTGTTTTCATTGTTTAGCTTGTCAGTGGATTTCTCCATGGAGATAAACCTCGGTGCAGTTTGTCTTCCCTTAGCTGAAGGATTTGCTGAGTTTCTGGCTCCTTTTATGTGTTGCTTTATTCCTGTTGTATGCATGATTGATTAGTGACAGCTTTAAGCGTGTTGTACTCTTACAATATGATGTTTTTATGAGATGGGGACCTGAGTTAATCATTAACTTTGTGGCCAAGACATTTTACAACGGCTGATAATATCACTGAGCAATTTCTGTCCGGAAGCAGACCCCATGGCATTAACAGACTGCAGCTTTATTCACTGTGATAGCCAGACACTACCATTATTACTAAATTAGTACTTTATTTGTTAAAAGCAATTTAATTGGTCTCTAAACACTGCTTTGCTGGACAGTGAGATTCGGAGGAATTATCTACTATTAACATTGGTGTACTGAACGCAGTGCTTTGATTAGAGAGAGCATAAGTATCACCAATTTTGAGTGCTCTGGGTAGGAAGTCTGCTCTTGCTTTAGCAATGCTCACTACCCTAGAGCTGTTACTGTACAGCACAAAGTAAAGAATGAGATTGAGAATATTAACATGGAGTATTGAATGTCTGATTATTATCAACTCTTTTATCCTGGGAGCATCCCTGTTGGTTTCAGTCGTCAGAAGGCTTCAGGTGCGAACTGAAGCATGACGTAGGGTCACGTAGGGTCTCACAGAGTCCATGAGAGAGATCTGGAAATTAAAAGCAAGGTTAGTGTCTTGGTAGGACCATCTTCTTTTTCTTGGCATTCAC